GCTGCTATAATAAATTATTTAAAGCAAGCAGGGTGAGCAGGTTGTGAAGACAATATAAAACAGAATCAATGCCTCCAAGAAACTCTAAACCGTCTGCACCTCTATAAATTTCTTACCACCCTGTCTGGCATTTTACTGGAGGTATTTCTTTTCCATCATGCTACCCATCCCACCCCTGACCCTTCACTTTTTGCCCAGTTTTTTTCTCAGAGCTTAACATTTGTTTTCCTTCTGTAACCCAGGATGCTGTCTTCAGTTATATTTTTCAGCTTGTATCAGGAGAGTGTCTGTGAGGCCACAGATGAGTGCATCTGTCACTTCATTCATCTGGATCTTGAATTTCCCACTGACACTATAAGCTGGGAATATCTAATATGATACACATATCAACATGACTTCAGTATTATCCTTCATCTTTTTCTTTTTTCTTACTACCGTTATCATTAAATCCACAAGCTTAAGCTGTTGTGAAACTTTTGTAGCTCAACGACTGTCCTATATTAGAGGATATTACTAGAACCAAAAAGTTAAAGTGAAGGTTGGGAACTTAAGGTGGCATTTTGGAGGACAAATGGTAAAATGGCTAAAATGGAAGAACTAGGAGATGTTAAGAGGGCAGATTGACTTAAAAAGTGAATTTTTTACAAGTAGATTTTGCTATGGGGATAAGGGTAAGAAAAGAAGCATAAGAACTTGAAAAGAATTTGTCAAAGGAAAGTTAGACGCCAGAAGAATGCCATAGCTTAAAAAAAAAAAGTTATAATAGAATTGTTGCTTAGAAGCTTGCAATGACCTACGGCCCAGTTTCAAGAAAAGCAGCATTCTACTATAGTTTTTTTAACTGGGCAGAAATCAGTCCCATTGTATGAGCAGGGGCTGTGGATAGTATATTTTAGGCTTTTCCATTTTTCTAAGTCTGTCCAATCACACAGTAGCTAGGCAAATAAAACAAAAGCAACCCTATTTTGCCAGAGTAAAAACATTAGCAGCTTAACATGACAATAGACAAAACAGCACAGGGCTAAAACACTGGTCTAAAGGATTCTACACGTAGGCTTTGCTGCTTTTGTAATCTGGGACTTTTAGCAAATTATTTTCCTCTCTGGGTCAAGTCTGCCTGGTTAAGGTCAGGGTCATTGAACTAATTATTACATACGGTAGTTAACTTTATAAAGAAAACTATTACAAGGTCACATTCAATATAAGAAACAATTTGAAGAAAAAGGTTAAAAAAATTGTAGATAATATGAATTACTAAGCATAACCCTATCATATCACCAAAATGCTAAATCAAAACAATTTAAGTTGCAAGGCCAGCTTCTCAGTTATTGGTGTCAACTTTGAATATGAAAGACAAGATCTAAATATTATCCTTTTGTAGCTGCTGTTTGCTCATCTGTAAGAAAGTGGGAAAAAAATCATTGTCCTCAAAGGATTGTTAAGATAAGTGACCTATCAACATGCCTGCCAAGTGCTTCTTTAAACAGAAATTACTCTGTAAACGTCCCAGTGACGATCCAGTGTTCTGGAACAATCCAAGTTCAATACCCTGGCCTATCCACATCCTTTTGTTATGAGGCTACTTCTCACCTCTGAAAGAAGTCATTTGTTTTTTTAGCTACTTGGATGGTAGAAAGAGGGAAGGGTAACTTCTGATAGATCCTTTCTCTTTCAAACCTTATTTAGTAGTCTTAAATGGAGAATTATGCCAGTCTGAAATGGGAGAACCGAATCCAAATGTCAGTATCAAATGATAAATAAAAAACTAATTGACAATAATAAAAATTCACAGTGTTCTCAGTGAAAGGAGAGGTAGCAAACAATTCTCAACCCACATCTCTGTGACAATGAGAAAATCTATTTACTCAATTAATTGGGCAGCTCAAAATATTCCTAAGGTGACTTTCAGAAAGTAAGAATCTCTGGGCCTCTGGGTGGGTGGCCTGGGACACTCTTCCTGGCCACAAGCAAAATAGCCACAGCTTCCCAAGGAGATTATTGACCTCATATAGTCTGTAGTAGCCCAGCTGTGGTGCTGGGCTTTGTTCTAGAACAGCTTTTATAGAGAAAAAGGGTGCCTCATGAAGATAAGGATTCTACCTTGCAGGAGGAAATGCTCAACCATGTGAATTAGGACTAGCAGTCACCCCAGAGCATCCCAGGACTCCACCGAACTCAGAGTGGGGGGTGAAGGAACTAAGACTGGGGTTTGGGGTTGGGTCTTAAATTCATCAGGTCTTGTTTAATCAGGCAGACTTCCTTAGAATCAGGGCCAACCTGGAATAGGGATAGTTGAGGATTCCAAAACACTTTCAGACATAAGACAAAAGGGGTCCATTGTTGAAGACAGAGAGTTAATGCATTACCTATAAATTTCACATGGCCAGTAAATGCCACCTGGACATTTCTGAACAATTATTTGTTAAATCAACTCACAGACTATAATTTTTCTTTTATGTCATTAACACAATTCCAGTGTTTCTCAAAGTACAGTGAAGGGATCCCTGGCATTAACATCACTTGGCGGTGCCTGTGAAAATGCAGATTCCTAAGTTTCACCGCAGACTCCTAAATTGAAACCCCGGGACTGAGGTCCAGTCCAAGAACTGAATTTCTAAGAAACAGCCTAGTTAATTTGGATGATTCATATCAAGGCGGGAAAATTATTATGTCTATATAGTCCATTAGAAATTTAAAGACATTCACAGATTAGTGTTTTGTATGTTTTCCCCAAAATGCTTATATACCATAAAATTGAAAACAATACTTCTTGTGATGAGTTCTTAAAAACCATTCCAGCTTATTCTGCCCATATTTAATGAACACCATTATTAAAATGTAATTATGAGCATAAGATTATTGGGAAAAATATGAACTATGCTTCTCAAGAATACTGCCTTTATTTTGCCACCAAAGTAATTATGCTATTAAAGGAATTTATTGTTTTTTAAAGTATCAGTCACTTGGCTGCAAGAATTTATTAAGCTATTATACTCCTCCCATACCCTTTTAGTCATCAGAATTTTTGTGATAAAGCCTTTTTATTATTTTAAAACTATAAATTGTGAACCATTGCAACTAGTGATTAGACTGACTGTGAATATATGTCCAGGTTATAAATTCCTAAAAGCATGTTTCATTAGAATTACCAAGGCAGTCTTAACTATAGCTTCTGTGATAAAGCTCTGTTTACTTCTATTAAGGTGGTTTTTTTTTGTTTTTTTGGGTTTTTTTTAGTGCAAAATGATTCAGTTTTAATGCATTCTTTTAACAAGCAAAAGCAAACGGTTTCTGATATACATGCCATACTGCGAGGCTGTAAACCAGTGTTGCATGGTGATGTGACAAGCACCACATTTCTAGAGGGATTTTTTTTTTCTCCAAGCTCCCCCTCCCCAAGCCGTGGCTATAATTATTTCACAAAATGCAGTTTGCCATTTCTAGAGACAAACATTTCCTTCTCCCTCACCTAACTGCAAGTTCAGGCCAAATATTGAATGAAAATGAACTTGAGAGGCAGCCTTTGTTTGTAGCATGTTGTTTCTGCTAAGAGTTGCCCCCTACCCGGGCTCCACCCCAGTGGTCAGACTGAAGTGTACATGTTATGTTTTAACAGATGGGCCGGCTGGCGGCTGCTGGGCTGTAAAACAGGAACGCGTAATCTGCACCGAGTGGTATTGAACTGAACGCTCGTAAAGTTCATGGACATACTCTGACCCAGACAGACCAGGCAGATGCAGACATGCTTACGCATACACACTTACTAACACCCCACAGCTCAGAGGATCCATCTCTGTGACCCAAGGGAAGTTCAAGGCTGAATTACCCCTTCATATATTTACCTCATTCACCTTTTAATTTTATATATACACACACTCACACATGTACACGTATATACGTGTGTATATGCGCATCTACATCTACATATACACATACAGAACTCTATATATCAACATTTTCATGTATTTTCAAAGGTCTAAATATCCCCAAATTCTGGACCTGTTTCTGTCTAGTATTTTCAAAAGCTCTCATTCATGTCAAATATGAATTATAAGAAAACATCGTAGTGAATTCTATTTAGTCCACACATAATATAAAGTACATGCATGTAGTTGGCCTCAGAAAAACAAGCTGCTTTTACCCCCTTACCATTAAGGCGGAAAAAACAATCTAACCCAGACCGAGTCACAAACGGAGTGTCAGGTTTAACCTTGAGTTCTCTGCTGTCAATTCCTGACTCAACTTCATTACCTAAACACGCAGGTGCTCAAACACCAACCGACCAGGCTGGCGATCCCTTTCGCAGCCTCTAGGATTCTCCAGGGCTCCGGGCACCAGAACCGACAACAGCTCCCGCCTGGTCCTAACGAAGTCCTTCGGACACCCCTTGCGGGTGGATGTGGAGGTCCGAGCACCTCAGGAGGGGCATGGATTCAAGTGCTAATAGAAAGCAATTACTTTAGAAAGTTCAAAGCCCAGCAGTGCTCCCAATTCCTCTCAGTAGCTGCAGAGCACTGAAGCACCCGCTACAGAACCCGGCTGGTACTCCAGTTCTCTGGCGCTGAGACCCCAACTTGAGCCCGATGAGCGCTCGCTCAGCCTGGGGATCCAGACGCCGACGCTGGGTCTTATCGTGCGGCACAGCGCGGGTAATTTCTCAGGAACCGCGGTCCACCCGCCGCGGGCGCGGAGGCCGCCCCAGCGCTCCGTGTAGTCGCCGTAGAGGGGCAGGGGACGCATCCCGGCCCCACCTACCCATGTCAATTATGCCAAGTTGGTGCGGACGGGAGCCCGGTCCCGGGCGGAGTTGGGATGCTTTTGACAACAAGAAGTTCGGGAGTGGGGATATTGGCACGGAGTAAATCCCGCCCAGCCCTGACCTCCCCACAGCGGTCACGCTCGGACGAACGGACCGCCGAGCGCCAGGACGCGTCCTGTCCCCTCTCGCCGGCGCCGAACCGTGCCGAGAGGAGCCGCTAGCCCGGCGCGCGGCCACTCACCCTCCTCGCCGAGTCCCGATCGCAAACCGACGTCCCTGCTGCGGGTTCTAAGTGCCAAGTTGCCCCCACTCGGTGGCTGCTCACGGCCCAGTGGACCAGGCACATTGGCTCTGGCGGGCACCTCAGCGGGAGTACGGCAAGCCTGGCGGCCGCCGCGGCTACACAGTCGCCCGGAGCGCGCTGACAATTCACGGACCTGCTCAACGAATGAGGCGGAACGCCGGGCTGAGCGGACCAGGCTCTGGAGGGGAGGCGGGGCCGCGCGGCGGGAGGGGCGGAGCCAGCCCCGGGGCGTCATCAGCCCATGACTGGCGGAGCCGGCAGCCAATCGTGGTGGCGTTGGGGCCTCCCCGTAGCCGCCGTCCAGTCGCCTGCGGCCGAGGGCCGGCTAGGGAGACGCGCCGGTGGCTGGGAAGTTGGTTATTGCGAAGGGCCGTGGCTGCCGGCGGGCGCTGCGGGGCTCTCTGTATCGGGACCCGAACGGCTCTGGAGGGAGGCAGCGGCCCCAGAAGGCAGTTGGCTGAGAGAGACCAGGAGCTTTCGGAGCTGCCGCGCGCATAGCGCTGTGGAGCAAGAAGCCAACCTCAGCGCGGGTCGACACGCCAGTACCTAGCGCCCGCAGCAGGCGCGGAACTTAGCTGTCCCATAGGAGCCCCGCCCGGAGGAAGCTGAGGGCCCAGAAAGGATGAGTTCCGGACCGGGTCACCCAGTCGCAGGTGGAAACCTGGGCTCCTCTGGAAAAGGTTCTGATCTCGATCTGGCTATCTCTGAAACAAAACTCCAGCCCCGCAAACCCCCCAAAGTTCAGTACACGTCCCCGTCCTCACCCCTGCCCTCCGGGCCACCGGCAGCGGGGGACTTGCCGGCGCCTCGGGTCTCCTTCTCCAGACCCAGGGCATCGCGGGCACAACTGGCGGCCAACAGAAGTCTTGGGCGCTCGACGGCGCCGGAAGCTGTGAGACCCTCCCTCTGGACGGACTGCCTTGCGGGGTGGCATCCTCTGCGGTGACTTCTGCTGCTGTTTTTGGGGTCCGCCAGGATTCCAAAATGCAGGGCGGGTGGCTGGAATTATCCATCTTCGTGGACAGGAAGCCCCAGAACGAACCACATCTGTCCCACTCTGCTTCCGCCCTCCTTCCCCGTCGCGAGCTCCTGGCTGGGATGGAGACATCGGGCGAGCTCGGAGATCCCGACCTCTCAGGGGTCACTCGCAGCCGAACAGCCTGGAATATGGCCTTGTGGGCCCTTCCAGCCCAACCCCCTAGGACCCCGCTGCTAATCTTGTCAACCAGTTTCTGAGCCCCTACCCTGGCTGCAGCACGCGCTTGCACAGGCGCGCTGAGCTACTAACATAGAATCAAAAGCAGGGGGTTGGGTGTTCTTGCTTTCCCGCTGAAGCCTAGAATGTAAGCAAGCCCTAGATCGTCAGCTCTGGGTGGGTAGGGGCCTCTCCCTGTCTAGAACTGCACTTGCCATGGGTAGGCACCTAACCCTTATTAGTAAAGGGTCAAATAACCTGCTGCCCGGATACTGACCTTCACCACTTACCTCTTGCTTCCAGCCCAAGCGCACTTCAGACCATTGCCTCATTCAGGTCCCAGGAGTCCTAAGGGTTTTAGTCTCTCAGTATGGGCAACTATTCACATGTAAGGGTGCTGCAGGTGTTATTTCAATGCCATCTGGCCTCTATAAGGTCTTGCATCATAGCTGACCTCTCATGAGAAGGTTCTGATGAGGTCACCAGGGAGAAGGAATGTAAAGGGCTGGTGGCTGAAAAGGAGTGAAATGGCCCCTCTTAGGTGAGCTCTGGCTTGGTTTGAGTTTCAACTCTGTCTCCTCAGCTCCATTTCTCAATGGGAAAAGGTTCATAGGAAGGTTGTCAGAAAGGCAGGAGACTAGGCCATGGACAGCCCTTTGCAGACCCTGAAAAATTGCTCAGTAATGCAAAAATTGTCCATATTTAAGTTATTTCTTTTCTATCTCGTGAACCAAAGGACTGCTACAGGCAAGGAAGACCATCTGACTCAGTTCCAGGGGTTCCTTAGCATGCTGCTGATTGGCCTAGGAGAATGGCCTTTGCCCATAAAGTATTAGATGTAGACCACATGAATGGAATATTCACCAGGTTTCTGCCCAGGTCTGGATTGGGTAGGGACATGGCTGGAGGTGCCACACAGGAGAGCTAGAGAGAAGACTTGACTCCCAACCTGATTCTAGCAGAACTCCACTTTGATGTGTTTTTAAAATTGTTCTCTTCTGTTTGCTTTCACGGAGGCTGCCATGAAACATCATCTTTGACTAGAATTACCAGGAAATGCTCATGGAAGAAATATACTTCCTTGGATTTTTTTTCCTACCACACTTCAGGATATAACTAGAGAAAACGTTTGCCAACAGTGCTTATCATATTAGTACCCTCTGAAGCTTTTCATAGATGCTGATTACTATTTTTAAAATCATTTTGGGAATAGGAGCCAAACACTAGGTCGTGACTGTAAATTACTTTAGTATTTACATTACATGATGAAAAATGGAAATAAAGGAAATTTCCTGGCATGAAACAAGTTAGAATTAAGCAGGTGACTTTCATGTCCCGATTTCCAAAGTTTTCTGTTTGTTTCAGACAGATAAGATCATCCATGGGTTCCTGGACAAGTAACAGGTCTCATTTTCCCTTGTAGAACAGAAGACATTGAAAAGACAGCATATTCAGACTATATTCATGTTTCCATACCATCTTTTGTTGTAATTGATTTTCAACAAGAGTCCCTAACAATCTCTTGAGTTTGGGCCATCCCCATATTCTACAAGGGAAAATGAGATCTGTTACTACTCCAGTAACCCATGCTCACACTATCTGTATGGAACAGAGAACCATGAAAATCTGGATGCAGAAGTCACTTGTTTAGTTCCAATCTATTTTGCGAAAGGAAATTTCTTTTACTCAAAGAGATGAAGAAATTTACGGAATGGCTTTGGAATGAGAAGATTCAGGTGGGATCAAGCAAGGCTTGTTCTTTAGTGGATGGTAAGATTGTTTTCAGGCACTGTCACTCCTTTCTGACACTAAGACAGTATTTTGGAATCTCCTAAATTTCAATAGGATGTGATTGGGAGTCATGGGTTCTAATCTTAACAGCTGCTGGGGTGGGTGCTCCTTGCAGTCACTCATCCTTTGTTATACTCTTGCTTCTTTGACCATAAAACAGTAGTGGTAGAATTGGCCCACTATGTGTAGCTGCGTAAAGGGGACATCATGACAGTGGTTATGAAGCACTGCAAATGCGTTGCATTTATAGTAGTACTGACTGCTAAAAAGGAGATGAAAATGATGTTGAGATGGGAAAATAGTGTGGTATGAACAATTACTATTTATATGTGCAATTTACATTTTTCTATTTACATGTGCAATTTCCTCCTTCCTTCCCTTCCCTTTCCTCCCTTCCTCTCTCCCCCTCCCTCCCTCTCTTTCTCTTTCTCTCTCTCCTGCTCTCCCTCTCTTTCTCTCTTTCCCTCTTTCTTTCTCAGACGCACACTCTGTCACCCAGGCTGGAGTGCAGTGGTGTAATCTTGGCTCACTTGCAACCTCCACCTCCCTAGTTCAAGTGATTCCCTTGCCTCAGCCATCCGAGTACCTGGGATTACAGGCGTGGGCCACCACACCTGACTCATTTTTGTATTTATAGTAGAGACGGGGTTTTGCTATGTTGGTCAAGCTGGTTTCCAACTCCTGGCCTCAAGTGATCTGCCTACCGCAACCTCCTAAAGTGCTGGAATTATAGGCGTGAGCCATCACGCCCAGCCCATTTATTTTAATCTCATTAGATATTGTCCTTTCAGTATGTAAGTGGAAATGAGAGGAAACCATCTTTATTCTTTAAGGAGGAATACAGCTTCTAAAAGTTTTGGTTACCTAAAGTTTTTGAAGGTGTAATAGGGAATGAGTTACCAAAACAGGAAGAGTTGTAGAAGCAGACCTAGAGTTGGGGAAAATTTTACTTACATGGATAGTATTTTTTTCCTCTCCCTGGCTCCTGCCACCTCTCTCAACACATACTTACTGAGAAAGTTGTTCACAATTTAAAGAGGTTGAGCCAAAGATCTTAGCAAAGAAATGCAGTCAGAAGCTGCAGATTTTTTTTTTTTTTTTTTTTTTTTTTTTTTTTTTTTTGAGACAGAGTCTCGCTCCATCACTCAGGCTGGAGTGCAGTGGTGCGATCTCAGCTCACTGCAACCTCTGCCTCCCGAGTTCAAGCGATTCTCCTGTCTCAGCCTCCTGAGTAGCTGGGACTACAGGCATGTGCTGCCACACCCAGCTAATTTTTGTATTTTCAGTAGGGCCAGGGTTTCGCCGTGTTGGCCAGGCTGGTCTTGAGCTCCTGACCTCAAGTGATCCACCTGCCTTGGCCTCCCAAAATGCTGGGATTACAGGTATGAGCCACTGTGCCTGGCCCAGAAGCTGCAGATTCTAATATTAGCTTTGCAATGCATTTATTCTGAGACCTTGGGCATGTCATCAACCTTCCATATCTTAGTTTCCTATCTGGGAAGCTGCAGTGGTACTTATGACCAATTTTGCAGAGATGACAGCAATAACTAATGATAGGCACTTAGATTTTAGACTTAATGGGAGTTAGCTCCCTTGACACAGCAGTATGGGAACAATAACCGGCCAGCCAATGAGTGAAAAAGCTGGATTATCCCTTAGAAATGAATTGTATCATTACTGATTATGAATACCCCAAATTATGACAGATTCACATGTAAGGATGCCAGGGAAAAGTAGCCGTGAGCTATATTATACAAAATTGTTTATTACCCAAGAGAATCTAGGTGCTAATACGGATGGTACTACATCTGTGAAATTCTGAAACCCATGAAGGATTTGAAATATAAAGCCAAATAAAACATAATACAGAGGGAAATGATTTTGATTATGTAACATTTATATATAGCATTTCATTTTACATTTTCAAATTGCTTTTCAGTCATTGGTTTATTCTTCACAGCACACCTGGGGAGTACATCTGTGCATTTATCCTCTGTTCACAGCTGAGGCAACTGTGACTGAAACAGGCAAAGTGGTTTGTCCAAGAGCAAAGCCATGGGCAGGGTGAGAAATTGTTCATTCATTCAATCATGCATCTATTCTTGGCAAGGCACCAAAGTCTGTGTGGTGATGGTGCACGGAGATAGATATTGTCTATGTGGCCTCTACCTTGCAAGAGCCTGCAGTATGCTGAGACAATAAGTGGTTCATGAATTATGCCTCCCAGAGTGCTCAGACAGCAAGGACCAGGGTTCAGAGAAGAGGGTGAGAGTTCCCTAGGATTCCTGGAGAGAGTTGGATTCAGGGACCGTGAGGGATGGGTAGAATTTTGGAAAATGGAATTGTGGCTAGTGGGAATGACAGACGTGAAAGTGGGCAAATTTAAGATGTTTTGGAGAGTATCTGACTACAGCAGGGCCATCGTGGGGAAAGGGCAGGAGAGTGGAAAGGCGCGGGTTTCCCAAGATCCTGAATGCCCAGCCCAAATACATGGATGAATCCATGAATCCACGGATTTCAGCCTAATGGGCAATGGGGGTTGGACTTATCTCTGACTTCTCGTATTCACTCATTATTATAACATGTGCTGTACCTAGTGCTAATACATGCTTAGTCTACAGGTATTTTTCCACACATCAGCTTTTCTAACCTTCGCGTCACTCTGAGATACATATTATTCCTCCTTTAATGGATTAAAAAATTGATGCACTTAGAGGTTGAGACTTCCCTACGATCATGTAGCTAATAACTGACATATTTAAGATTTGAAAGTAGGATCCCTGACTTCTACATGGAGACAAATGGAAAGAACAAGTGTAGATTCTGGAGAGTGTATTTAGGATGCCCATCTAATAACATGTCCCTCACCTTAGTTCAGTGTTGTTCCAGAAAAAATAAGTACATAGGAGTGAAATTTTTTTTTTTCTTTTGAGACAGGGTCTCACTCTGTTGCCCAGGTTGGAGTGCAGTGGCATGATCTTGGCTCACTGGTTCAAGATTCTTCTGCCTCAGCCGCCCAAACAGCTGGGATGACAGGCACATGCCACCACACCTAACTTTTGTATTTTTATTTTTATTTATTTCTTTATTTCTTTAGTTTTTTGAGATGGAGTTTTGTTCTTGTTGCCCAGGCTGGAGTACAGTGGTGCGATCTTGGCTCACTGCAACCTCCGCCTCCCTGGTTCAAGAGATTCTCCTGCCTCAGCTTCCCAAGTAGTTGGGATTACAGGCGCCAGCCACCATGCATGGCTAATTTTTTGTATTTTTAGGAGAGACAGGGTTCACCATGTTGGCCAGGCTGGTCTTGAACTCCTGACCTCAGGTGATCCACCTGCCTTGGCCTTCCAAAGTGTTGGGATTATAGGCGTGAACCATGGTGCCTGGCCTAATTTTTGTGTTTTTAGTTGAGATAGGGTTTCACCATGTTGGCCAGGCTGGTCTCAAACTCCTGACCTCAAGTGATCCACCTGCCTCAGCCTCCCAAAGTGCTGGGATTATAGGCGTGAGTCACTGTGCTTGGCCAAAATGGAACATTTTAAAATCCCAAATCTACTACACAACAGACTGTCCTTTACGACTGAAATCATGGAGATTTGTGAATAAAAGGTAGAATGTTTCTCCATGTTTGTTTATTTGCTCATTTTTTTCTTTTGTTTTTTAGGAAGTTTGAGAGAAAGAAAAATATGCCAAGATGATTAAGTTTCACCTAAGATTTTAAAGCTCCATCTAAAAGATGTGGAAAACAAGCACCGTACCAGAATATTGTACCTGATTTCTGCCCTGTCTTAAAAACACCATGACATTTTCCTTGATTTCAAGAATACAGAAAATGAACATGGTCCTTTAAATTATGTGACTCTTTCGAAGCAAAATGGAAACAAGGAAAAACCACATTTGTTTTCTGCCTCCCTTTTCCAAAAAGCTGAAAATACAGTGCAAATGAACTCTCAGTCATGGGTCAACATCTTTACAAGACCTGCCCCTCGTTCTCAGGTTAGAGATTTCTCCTCTGCCTCCCCATTCTCACCCACACCCAACTTGAAATAGGTCTCCAGGTCCCATTTTGACCACATGTTCTTTCAGTCACATATGGGAGATGAGAAGGGGTTAAATGTAGCTATGCAAGACTAGCAAAACTCATCAGCAAACTGGAAAACAACTTCAGGCTTACTATCAACAGTGGGTAGTTAGCATCAGTTTAAAGACTGTGAATGCACACAATTTTCCTAAGAATATTTTTCAGAAGAGTGTAATTATAGGTATAATCTCTAATTGCATTATAAATGATAAATAAGAGAAGGTTAGCAAACTATATTTCAGGGCTGTTTGCTGTACTTATCTGCTGCCATCATTGGCCCTGTCTTCCTTTGTGACTGCAGACTGTGTTTATTAGTCTTGGTGGTAAGGGGGAATTGCTGTACGGTAGTTTTGTGTTAGGAAAGGATCTTACAGATGATGATGAAGGTTGCAGGAAGGACTGTTGAAGTGTTTTATTTTGGTATTTGTTTCATTTTTAAAGGCTGTGACTAGGACGTCATACCTGTCTAATAAGCATGCATGTAACATTTTTATATTTGCTGAGTGCTTTATAGTCCTCCATTAGTCCCCACAATACCCCTTGAGGGTAGGTCAGTATTACCGCCTACAGTTTACATATGAGGAAATTTAAGATACAAAGGGATTACGTGATTTGTACAAGGTCACCCAGCATGCAAGCCTACCTAATAAAAGGCAACTGCAAAGCTCTTTCCAAATAAAAAGTACCTTGTAAGTGTTAGGTAGTATTAATGGGTATGATCCCAGAATGAGTAAAATACTCTTCAGGAGTAAAGTGCTCATACATGATATATAAGATTAATTCTCTCTCTCTCTCTCTTTTTTTTAACCTCTGGGTGACTTTTGAAATAGTTATTCTTGAACCTGGCTATGCATCAAAAACGTCTCTAGAGTTTTTAGAATATGTGAGCACATAGGCTCCTACTCAGCCGATAGAATCAGAATCTGGGCAGTGGGATTTAGATAATTATGCCTTGAAAAACCTCCACGGGGGATTTGGATGCTCAGTCAGAGTTGAGAATCACTACTCTAGACTAGAAGAGTAACACTGGTCAGGCCAAGAGCAACAACGAAACACTGTGGAGTTAATTCAGAAGAGAAAGTCTGGTGTCTTCCAGGCCTCTGTCCAGCCAGTTCACAACTATTATTAGCAGAGGAACTGCCTCCCTGAAATAATCAACTGTAATAACTATGTGTGAAATTCCAGGAAATAGTGCAGAGATTAAAGTTTATTTAAGAACCACCAGTTTTTGAAAGTTATAATTTACTGGGTAAATTTACTGGTGCACCTTGGGTTATTACTGCGTTTAATGCTTTTATTCTGAATACTTTGTACTTCTTCATAATGAACATGGTAAGAACCTATAATATCTGCCCATTCATCCATCTGCCAAACACTTATTGAATACTTGCTGTATGGAGATTTCAGAGTGAAAATAATGATCTTTTTCCAGAAGTTTATAATCAAGTGATAAAAACAGACACAGGCAAAACCAACCAACCAAACAAAAACCCGAAGCCACACATATGATAATAAAAAGTATAATCAAAGCGTTAGATGAGGCATTATTCATAATTGCTAAAAAGGGGGACTGCTAATGCTACAACATGGATGGATCTTAAAAACACTATGCTAAGTGAGAGAAGCCAGTCACAAACGTGGTATTCCCATACAATGAACTATTATTATTATTATTATTATTTATTAAACAATGAAGTGGAATATAGTACTGATACATACTACAACATGGATGGATCTTAAAAACGCTATGTTAAGTGAGAGGCACCAGTCACGAAGGACCACATATTGTATGATTCCATTTATATGAAATGTCTTGAATAGGCAAATCTGTAGAGACAGAAAACAGATGGTTGCCTAGGGCTGGGGGTGGGGAAGGATGGAGGAAATGGGGGACTGCTAGTGGGTACAGGGTTTCTTTTTGGAGTGACGAAATGTCCTAAAATTGATTGTGGTGACAGCTGCACAACTTTGTTGACTGTACTAAAAACCATTCAATTGTAAATGGGTGAATTGTATGATATGAAAATTGTATCTCTTAATAAAGACAATAGATGATAGATAGAGCTGTATGAACTTGGAGGAAAGAGTGATTAATTAATTTGGATTGGAAGAAAGTGGTGGGAAATTTCCTGGAGGAAATGACATTTGAGCTGACTCAAAAAGGATGATTTTTGTAAGATGCTGTGGATGAAAGGAGGGAAGGTATGCTCAAAGAGACACTCAAAGTGAGGGTGCTTTCATGCAAGGGCAAGTTATCTGGAACAGACAAGATGCATGAAGATACAGTAGACAGAGGCTAGATGCATGGCTTTTACTGTCATGCTAAGTTCTGTAGTTTGGTTTTCATTTTTGTAGGCAATGGAAAGCCACGATAGGTCTGTGAGTGGATGATCAGAACTGTGATTTGGAAGGATAATTAGAAGTGGTGATAAGGTAGATGGAAGATGGTGTGGGAAGGCAGTGAGTAAGGGAGGCCATTTAGGAGGCAAAGGCATTGCAATGTGTAGGTGAGAGATGAAGAAGCCTTTGACTACTGCAACAGTAGTGAGGACTGAAACAAGGAGACAGTTTTTTTTTTTTTTTTTTTTTTTTTAAATAGAGTCAGGGCACTATGTTGCCCAGGGTGGTCTTGAACTCCTGGGCTCAGGCAATCCTCCTGCCTCAGCCTCCCAAAGTATTAGGACTACAGCTGTGAGCCACTGCGCCCCGACTAAGGAGACAGATTTAAGAGATGGTTAAGAAGTAGAATCATTAAACTCACCTACTCCCTGATGGCCCTGGGGGAGTAGGTGGAAAAGCATAGAAATTGGACAGCACACTATCTGAAACCACATAAGGACATGGGTCCTTTTATGACAAATTATTTTGAATGTAAAAACTTTTGTTGAAATAATGTCCAGCAAGCAAATTGTAGCTCTTTACATCTGTTAACAAGGGTTTGATTACAGACACTCTTAAATTTCTTAACAAAGGAATGTGTATTGTGAATCAAAGGTGGATTGAAGACAGCAATGCAATCCAACCATTCTATGAGCACTTTCCAATCAGACCTCCCCTTGTTGAAGATGAAGCAGTCGTCATTTATCGACTATTCTGAATGACTAAGTATTTACCTCTTGCTCAGATAGCTTCCCTAGAAACACTTCCTTTGGTGTGAGCAACTTGGATTTACTGCCAGGGCAACACCTCCCATCCAACGCCCACACTGCCTCTTGGCTCGGTCCTCACCAGCAGGTGTTCATAAGCAGTATTTTTGTTTTGCTTCTAATAAGAGTGTAGGCTTTGAAAAGCATAGGCTGAATGTATCACCCATTATACTTTCACTTACAAGTGTTCTTATGGGGAGATTTGAAACCTTGGAGTCTCAAGGATCAGGAAGACAAAGACTGCCTTTTCTCATGCAAGGCCACACCTATGTTTTCCATTAGAAGGAGGGGCAGGCAAATCCTGGGCAAGGTCAAAATAGAAACAGTCTCTCCGAGTACATGGCGGTGCACTCCCTGGGGATCTGTTAAAGCCTGTTTTGTGTGTTTTGGAAGGTGTTACAGTTACGCTGCCTGCTGCTAGCTGAGTTTGAGAACAGTGACCCTGATAAGTGCCTTACAGGAGTTTATCAAGTGGAGAACACCATTTAGAACACCACTCACCGAGATGCAGCTCTTATCTGTGCCTGTCAGTGAACAATGACTATGACAAGCCATGTTCAATCACAGATCACAGTTGTTAGCAGAGCTAATTACAGCAGTCTCAGGTGAGAAGAATCCCAGCAGCTGCCTCTAAGAGACTTCCATCACAGGGGCTTCACAGGTAAGCAATGAAAATAGCCCCTTGGGGATCTTTAAACAACAGTTCTCTGCAACTCTGAACATGGACTCATCCACAGTTGGTGAGAGATCATGTTCAAAGGAGAACCACCAAAGGGAGAAGGAGGAAAGGGATGCTTAAAGCCAGGAAGGGAAATGTTCTGGATTAAATAAGAGCAGAACTGGGTATTTATTATTCCTTGGGCTGTCTGACTCACTGCATAACCTTATAAAGTCATTTCCACTTTCTGGGCCTCACTGTTCTCATCTCAAAAATAAGGATAGTAATACCTGCCCTATTTATATCATGGGATTGCTGAAAGAATAAAATATATATATTTAAAAATAAAAGCTGGGGAAAACTAGAAAATAGAACTTTAGGTAGTGTAACTGATTCCCTTTGTCTTATTTCTCATTTTACTTATAAATGATGGAAGGGAACAACAACAAATATTGGTGCTATTACAGAATCCCAGATTTCATTTTCTCATGCCTCCAGTTTTTTGGGGTTTGCACATCTTCAGATTTGCCTGTCCCTCCCCAGTTTGTTCTCAGCATCAGTTCTGGGGTAAACTCATCTCCAGTTTGAGGAGCAGAGGAAGATCCCAAGAATCTGAAGAGACCAAGCCCCTGTATTTATTTAGTCTCTTGTCTTTGTGTCTCCTGCTGCAGCCCAAGTCTTGAAGGCCTCCTCCCAAGTCCTGAAGGTGTATCCCACCTGTGGGACACCTGGTTTGTGGGGGACGTTGGCCCTGAATGAGAATTTCTAACGTCAAATTGGGACTTAAGAAGACACCTCTAGAAAAGAACCCAAAAGAATCTGTAACGACGTGCCCTAAACATGTCTTAGGCTGGGTCTGTAACTACATTCTTGTTCCTGCTGAAAATCGCAGCATCCTTCTAACCAAGCAAGGCATGTCCACTTATCTGATGGTGCTGTCAGTGATAGAAAGGGATCATATTATGGATTTGGCAGGAGGAAAAAGATTTATTTCCAAGTTTTGAAGATTTATCTTTTCCAGATACGCAAAACCAGTCAGAATATTTAAAACAAAATCAATGAAAAGTGATCATGTTTTGTGAGCAGAAGGAACCGTTCTTGACTTCAAAATAATGAAGACTTATAAGGATCCCAAATCCATGATAAAACAAATGATTTGACAATAGCAAGTGAGCAGGACTACCAAACCCTTAACTGCCCCCTTATGGAAAACTTTCTGAACGACTAATGGAGGCAATGTCTCCATTTAATGAATGTGTTCCGTTCAATGTTTAAATTTCCCCCTTTTTCTTTTCTCCTCTCTGCTGTTTAGTTTTTTTTTCAATGTTCAGCATAACTAAAAAGTCTTAAGTAGGAAATTGCACATAATTATAGGCTCCACACCAATGACAATGTGATGCCTCTTCTTAAGTATTCATAATCATTTAGTACTCTTCTTTCCTCCTTTGGACAATTTAGTTAGAATGACAGCAGTGTCCTTTATTTCTCTTGAAGGCATCTGCTTGTCTCATTTTGTGTACAGGTCATAAAACATCAAGAAACACAGTAATGTATTTTTTAGGTAGTCACATATACATAATTTAAAAAAATGCTTTAAATTAATAGAACAAAAGTGGGAGGGAGTAACTAAATTTTATCTATTAAAGTTATTTGGTGAGGTAAGGAGGTTTAAAAGACTATCTTTCCAACTCAAAGGCTGTGACCACCCTGAACATGCTGGCTTGTGCCTGCCAGCTGACAGGTTGTTTTGTGCTGTTAGGTGTCAACTCAGTGACATCCTTTGGTCTCTCAACGTTTCCTTTATTACTGGCTTAGTGAAATCTGACATTGATAAGAACCCTAATTTGAGAATGTTTCACAGAGCAGGATCATGGCCAAATTCAGGAATCTTGCTAGTTTGCAAGACGAGAGAATCCATGCAGAACCAAAGGCTGATACTAGAAGTCAGCAGTCACGATGGGAATAAATCCCACAATCTATGATTTCTAAATATCTTAATCTCCTCTGACCTTAAAAGAGTGAAACTGGCTTAATCTCGAGAATATCTTTACAAGAAAACACACGGTAAGGTGGAGTGAAATCCTAAAAAGAACTTCTGGCAGTTCTTTCCAACTTCTGACATCTCTTTATTACCCAGATTGTGAATCAACGCCCATTTTCTCTTTGTAGCATTAAATTCATAACAAAGAACATACAGCAATTGACTCACTTACCTGGTCTAGGCTTAAGTCTTTCTGAATACAGGACTTTCTCAGGTGACAGTTAACCTAGTCTCATGATGCAAATGTACGTTTTAACTCATTTTTAAGGGAAGTATTTTCTAAAATTTATTTCCCTCTCTTTTGCCTTAGTGGCCAGGCCACAGGTTGACTTTGTTGTGAGGACTCAGGATCACCACTGAGGTCTTCTGTGCAATGCAATGCTGCAACAAAGCCATCAGGGTTTCTGAGGCGAGCTGGGTCACAGTGTATTCTAAGTAGCACAATGAGGCCATGGGCTCAATTTGCCTTTAACTTGTATCATCTAAACTTTTTGGTGATCTCAAATCATTAACAAAAGTTCCAATTAATATTTGGCCTACAGTATTTCTAAGGATAGAAAGTTTTCCATCAGGAATTCAGTTCAAATATACCATTTCAGCATAAAGAAGGGATATGCATGACTCTCAATATAGGCCTATGGCTGGATTCTTCTTATTACTACTAGTCCATTAGCTGGCACTCCTCCTATATGCTGCTTCTCCCTCTTTTGTATGACATTAATATTAATATTTCCCCTTTCCCTGAAGCATTATGTCTTTGTAGGCTTTAGAATTCAGAGCTTTAGCTTTGGTAGTCATCTTTGAACTTGAGAGAGGAGGTAAAATGCAAAACGTCAGTGCCTAAACTGAAGCCTGACCGAATAAGGCCATTCTCTCTTGATTACGTCTCCATGTTCAACATGAATTTGTATCAGTAGAGATACCAGATTTGTTCCAGGTACAGGATTTTGGGTCACAGCATCAAAGTATCTTGTCTCCATGGTGAACAAGAGTCATGGGTCTGGTGTGCATATCTGTGGACTACAATGGGTTACTATGGTTTACTCTCCAGTGTCAGGGTCACTTTTGAGGCTTCTGAACTCTCCTGCCCACAATTCAGCCAAAAGACAGGTAGAAGGTTATGGCTACCTCATTCTGGTACTGTCCCAACACTGCCTGCCATTTTCGGGTGCTGAGCTAATCAATTACCTCTGGTCTTTAGCTCCTTTCTGGAT